TATGGGAGCCTTGGTATGTCCCTATTACGAAAATTTAGAGTAATAATTTAATCATAATTATAAAATTTGTAATTTGGTTAACTAGAAGTCAACCTATATTACAAGTAAATCAATTGTCATTTTAAGTATTATCTCTAATAATATTAATACCTTATTATTGAAGTACGGAGCTAGTTTTAATTTTATGACAATTGATTCTTCGCTTCAACTTTATCCTCAAATAAAAAGAAATTGGTTATCACCAGACATTTTTTCGAGATTAACATTGATGTATTTTTTATTATTAATATGTGAAATGATAACTTTTTTCTTGAATGCCAAAACTACTTCAGAGATTATCTCTTTTATGTAATTGTTCAATCAAATTTGTCATTAATAAGATTAACGGTAGAAGTAGTAGGTTCATTGGAGATGTTGGCATTTTTCTTGAAGATATAGACTTAGTTCTCTCTGAATTTCAAAGGTATCTCCTTTAATTACGCATTTAGACAACATAACAATGGAAATTATTTTATAGGTAAGAAATATAACAATAGACATTATCTTATTTTCTTGGGTCGAAAATCTTTTGTTAGAAGTAACAAGTACCTGTATATTTGGTCGATTTGTCTCGTCAGTATATTTACTTCTTTAACAAAAAACTTTATATATATATATATTACATATTAATTTAAGTTGATGTACAAAGAATTGAAAAGATACTTAAAAATTTAATTGGTTGACATAATTAATTAAAATTTATATTGCAGAATATATACGAAAATACATAAAATTAGCTGTTACCCTTAAATATATAAATTTAGGCAATCCTCAATCGTAGTTCTCTATAATTTGTCAATTAGACTATATTAGTACTCTTACTTCGCCATGAATCTTTTTTTTTTTTTTTTTTTTTTTTTTCGGCGGAAGAAGAAGTAAAGATAGAATTTGCTTGAAAGTTAAAAAAACAATATATGCATATATATATATATATATATATATATATTACAAACTAAAAATGGGTGGGGGGGTGGTGGGTGCTTTTGTTTGAAGCAGGCAAAGGCATGACTTTA